TGTCAACACAGCAGGTCTATCAGTAAAAACAGGGCCCTCTCTGCACCAGTTAGTGGGAAAGGAGTGATGTATATAAAAATTGAAACCTTTCCTCGAACATGCTTTATACTTTTGACCAGGAAAGGGAGCAGGTTCTTTAAACTGCTGACTTTGACTTAGTCTGACAGGTGGTGATGTGTGTGTGCCACACCAGAGGAAACTGTGTAACTTGCAGCTCCTCTTAAGTTAATATTGTAATATTGATGAAAAAATTTGTTATTTGGCCTTGGGATACTTCTATATTTAAACTCGTTAGCACTGTGGGTATTTCAGTTATTCCTAGAATCCATAACACATCAAACTATAAGGAAGCCATGCTGAACTTATCTCCAGTTAATATCCAGATAATATGATACAAGTATATCTCTAAATATCAGTACTTTTAAAAATCACGAGAGATATGCATATTTGAATAAGGTTGTTTTAAATTCAATATGCTTTCTTTCTAGGAACTTGAAAGCTCTCTTTAATATATTATTTAAAACATGACTTTGAGCTTGTAGGCATAAAAAAATAATTTCTTTCCCATTTCACAGTTGGGAAAACTGAATTAAAGAGAACAATGCTAGTAATTATCCATGATTAATAGAGGTGTGTATGTAAATCAGCCTGAATAAGTGTGTGAAATTAGACATGCTGATGCCAGAGAGCTCTTTTTAAAGAGCTTTTTAAAGAGAGTTTTTTAAAGATGAATGCTCTCCCATAAACCTCTGCATGAGTTGGGCATACATTCTGTGTGTGGAGTATATTTGGAAATAGACTTGGTAAAAGTATATGGATATTAAGGTAACTGAGTATTGTGTATTATAAACATTATACTACATAAAGTGTTAGATGAAAATTTTAAATTTGTTAGATACATATTTAATGAACATAAATGCATACATAGTGTTTATTTAAAATGTGATATAGATTTATATATGTTCCTGGGTATTATGATGGGCAGACTGGAATTTGGGTGTATTGTGATGATTTAAAAAAAGGTGGGAGAAGGTACATGTTAGTTTCTTAGGGTTGCAGGGATTGAGTTAACACATGCAAGAAGCCTTAAAACTTGACTGCCACATGAGAAGCCCACTATCAATGTTAGCTATTATTACTATTATCATTATTAGACAAGGTGAAAGTGCAGTTATAGTAAGGAGCTGAAAAGAAGCATTTTCTCATTGATTCTCAGGATAATATACTACAGAGAATAAGTACAGCCGTAGGAGTTATCCAGTCATCTTTACAGCAGGGACTATTTTAGGATTTTTCTTCCAGCTTTCTTCTCATCTCATGGAGTCTGATTTTGAGAATCCATTCCTGGGAGTGCCAGGTGAGGGCAGGTATGTCCCTCTGTCCTATTGCAGATAGAATCTGGCCGTTCGGCTGCTAGGCCTGTCCACAACAGCACCGATCCCCCTCAGGAGGAAACATACCAAGCAGACTTCAGATTTCTGCAAGCCTGGTTTGTTTGTGGATTGGATTTTAATTTTTTTTAACTTTAATTTTGGGAGGTTTTGTTTTGTTTTCGGAGAAAGCTTTAGACAGCTGTATTAATCATGCAAACCCAGCCATGTGCAATGTGTTTTATCAACGGAAAAACAGGAATTGAATGGCAAGTAGCTGTGAACAAACCAAGTGCAATGCCTGAACGTGGAAGATAATCTCAACATTTCCCAAACCCACTCACCACACTGGGTTAGTGAATGGAAAGGCTGTTCACTTGGGATAAATAATCAGATGGGAGGCAAACAAGTGAGACATTCCACTTATTAATTTTTTTAGGTTTCTGTGATAGGGAAGGATGGACTGATGGAGCCCAGAGAGCCCCAAGCTCAAGGGAATTCTTCACTTGATAAAAATAAGACAATGCTGTTCGTCCTTGTCCTTTTCTCTTCTTGCATGTCACGTTAACTTTCCGAGGCTGGTTTGCTCACCTCATTTTTAACCCGCAGTCCTCCCAAGTGCAAGGGCATCTCCAGATGCACTTTCCTCCTGATGGGCAATGCGAGAGGAAGCTTGGTATCCAGAGGCCTCGGGGAAATGATTTGAGACTAGCAAAGTGAGAAAAGTTCCCTCTGGGTGGACTCCTTCCTCATTTTACAATTCAGTGGAGTTTCTACAGAGATATATTCTGGGGTAGTTATGCAAATGTATGCCATTCAGGACTTATTTCAGAATACATAAACCAAAATTAAAATTAATGAGAAAAACACCTATCAGGAAGAGATCAAGCATGGAACACTATTATATTTAAAAGATATATATATATATATATATATATATATATATATATATATAATGTATATATATATTTAAATTAGGAGCAGGGAAGAACACTGATTTTTTTTGGTTTTGTTTGTGTTTGGCAGAACAGAAAAGGGCATTTGAAAAATTTCTGATTGTCCACAGACAGTACAAATTATCCTTTAGTGTAATTCCAGTATTATCACTGCAGAAAACCAAACAATATGATGAAGGAAACCCAGGGGAAATACATTTGACGTATTGAGCCTTGTTTTTGTTTAATCACAGCTTGAAAGGGTGTAGGGCTACATTCCTGCTGGGACTCCGTCCTTTCTCCCCAGTCAGCCCGATGGGCCATGTAGAAGGGATTGGGGGGGAGACCCTCCAGTGAGAGGTATTCACAATGAAGCAGCTGAAAATATACATGCATTGCTGCTACTGGGAAGTAGGAAGAAAAGTTTTCTTCTTTATGATGGGAGGACAGAAAAGGATCTTTGGGACTTTCTCCTAACTTTTGCAACATCTTAAGGAAAGTAATTGGCTCAAAATCCTCTGGCCATTTGCATCAACCAACAGTTTATAAACTTTTTAACACTTAGGTCTGAAATGTAGGACTCCACATAGATGATAAAATATGATATTTAATTAAATGAAGGTATCCAGTGTTATATATAATTATGATCACAGTGAGGCTGGCATGCATTCCATAGATATTTGGGTACTTAAGTGGCACTGTAAAAAAAGTTAAGGATTCTATAAGTTAGTACTCCCCAATCCCCTGAGAAACTACATTTCACATGGATTGCCATCTTAATGGGAAAGAAAAGGAGAAAAGGGATTTGATTTATAGAAAAAAATAAAGTCCTTGTAAGGAATAAGGAATTTAAGAGGACACTATCTTTCCTTACCAACCTCTCACACCAGCTATCCCGTCTCCATGAACAGCTTTTCAATTTCTACCAGCAGAAGCCCAAAGTATTAGTAAGATAAACTATATTCTCTAAGTCTATTGGATCTACAGAAGCTATCTACAGTCTATCTACAACGTAAAATCAAACCTAGGGTCATTCTCCAATCAACAATTCAGTTTGTGGGAAAATATCAAGTTCAACAAAATCCCACATGCTCCACCACTGACCCAGACTGTTTTTTAATATCTCACAGCTGTCCTCGGTGAATAGTGTCTGGCTTCATTTTGTTCAATGTTACATATATCATAAAGCATGATCTGAGGAAATATTTGAGTTCGTAGCTATAGAACTGCTCTTACAAAGGACACTGAGAGTCATAAGTGACACAGTGCAAAGTTTATCTTGGATGTAACACTTTTTTTGAAAATGTTATCCATTGGAACAAATGTGTATGTGTGTGTTTGTCACATCAAGATACTTGCAAGATGGCAACACGATAAAATGGTGTCAATCTCTGCAACTCTAGATGGTGAATGTCTTAAAATAATCATGGTATGTCAAGAATTCGAAATGGGATATTTTCCATGAATTCTAAGTTTGATGTCAAATCTAAAAAAACAGGCACATATTAAGTCTTATTTTTAGTGGCTGGCATAAGAAACAGATTTCATTAATGTTTTAGAGAAGAATTTTTTCAACAGTTCTTCTAAAAATAGTTTGAACCCTTCTCAAAGTTTAAGAATAACTTTTAGTAAGCTGTTTAATTGATCCTTAAAACCTTGCAATCCTCATTTCAAATATAATTAAGTTTGCATGTCTGTGAATACATAGATATGCAAAACATTGCATTATTGACACTCTGAATAGCTACACCCAATTCTAGCTTCATTTTTAGTTTGGACAAGTGTTAATGAAACATGATCTGTCTTTAAACTAATAAAACAGCAGTTCTCTACCTTTAATTCTGAGCACATTTCCTTTAGAGTGCATACAATAATTTTGTTTAATTGGATTTATTTTTTCCACATTAGCCCCTGCATGGCCTACTTTTCATTTTTTCTTAGGTCTTTGACTGTTATTTGCAAATCATTTTTCTGGAATTTAATTTCAACGGTAGGCTGGTTTCATTTCAGATTTTTTTGTATTGTTTTAATTTTATTTGCCAATTTGCCTTTAAACAGCCTTAAGCTAGAAGGTTGGAGCTGCAACTTGCATCGAAATATGATGTAGGAGGCAAAAATTAATTTGAGTGTGTAGGAACTTTTATGAAAAGAAAGACAGAATGACTGTCTTTTTTTGCTTGTGTGTTTTCTAAAATAGTTATCCTTAAAAGGAAAAGCCCCTGAATTGGCCAAGATTTAAAGAAAAAGCAATATCTTTGTGATATGCTTGAGTTCAACCTTAGGCAGTAGATAAATTCATTTTTACAAGTAATACTCCAGATTCAGATTCTATAAACCTCCACATATGAGTGTGGTCAGTGAGAGGATTCATAGTTTTATGAGCTACAGAATTTAACTGCCCATGTTCCAAATATGTGGTTCATGGTTTCCTGTAACTGAAGAAAAAATTGCATTCTGAATTTAGTATCATCTTCCCAACTACTGACCAACCTGAACTTTAGTCAGCTGATGCATCTGTTACATGCCTATCAACTGGAATGGGAGCAACTGATTGACTTTCTTTTGTAGGTTTAAAGAAAATTATTTCAGTTGTGTGTGACTTTTGTGAATGTATTTCATTTTGTGAAGGTTTGCACATTATAGATGATGGAGAATGACCCAGAAATAGAACTACAGTGATAAAAATCATACTGACCTTGAATGGGGTGGGGGATTGTGGGTAAAACACGCTCTGAAGGGGAAAAATAATAAGCATCATGGAGAGTTTATATATATATATACCTATACCTATATATATACATATACCTTGCTCATGTTTAGCTGCTCAGACAATTATAAAACAGATGAATTTCAATGCCTATGTCTTCCATAAAGTGTTTGTCTGTTCTTCCTACCAACACTAAAATATTAGAGAATTATTAGTAACACAAAATCCAAAGCCTCTTGAAAAAACTAGGGAACAACATCCTATTGTGATAAGCCTAGAAACAGGACCCCACCTTTCACTGGAAACACCCGCTACCAGAATTACAGACTTTTTGGAGGATTAGGGTTGAGGGTATTTAAAGTAGTAGTGATCACATTCAGGTCATGCATTTTGATCCTGGTTGTGGTCTCTTTGACTCATAACAGATGGACCTCTATGGTAGCTAAGGATGCGTTTCCTCTCCCTTAGTGCTCGGGGTCATGTCGGCTTTAGCTAAGCATCTGGAAAGTTTATTTTGGGAAATACTAATTGAACTTTTCCCTCGGGCTTTTACTTCCACATTACTGATATTCGTGCAAGAATGATGCCAAGGTAATAAGTTTCTTGTCAGGATATAATTTTTATTTTTAGTCTTTTCCTTAATCTCACCCTCTTGTGGCAATAGAATCTCTCCTGAAATTTGATCAACCAAATTTGCTTGATGATGCATTTGCTACTGAGTAATAAGCAGTGTTTTTCCTTCGAATGCCTGGGTCTTAATTTATGTTGTCCCTCACAGTCCCATCCATCCCTAAGCTACTGAGCATAAATTGTACATGCTGACAAAGCTCAGGATTGAAAAGCTCTAGTTATCTCACCAAAACCCCAGGTTTAACTCTAAATCTTCTGAGGCTCTTTCAGGAAGGCAGAATGGTGTATTAGGGATAGGGTGCTTTACTTACTACCCCAAACTCTGTCATGTAATATAGTTACACACACTATTCTACATTCCTCTTAGCAGCTTGGTTAACTGAAGATGGATGATAAATAAAAATGAACAAATATCAAAACCATAAAGAGAAAAGCATATGTACATATTCAAATTTAGTCTTCTTGCCATCTTTGGCCATAAGCTTTAAGGAGGAGATTTTGCTTAGAATTCTGGCACTCAGTAATCTGGACATAGAAAACCCAGTCTCCTTGTAGAGTGGGCTTTTTCTCTAAATCAGCCAAAAATTGTAGCTTAAATGCCAAAGTTTCCTAAGTGCATTACGATGGAACAGGTCAATAACAGCACAGTGAACAATTGTGTCTTAGTTACACAAGTGTCAAGTAGAAAAATGGCTTAAACCTCCACTTGTTATTTGGTGTTAAGTTTCCAGCTTTGAAAATAAATAGCTAAACTGCTTTCAGCCATTACGTAGCAGTTGGAGACCATGGTCCCATATTATATTCTATCTACTGTATTTTATTTCTATTATTACTATTACTATTTAGAATGTTAAAATAACTCTGCTTAATATTTTGTCATCACACTGTTCACAGCTGGTAAATGCACCCTGCCCTCATTTCCACGAGACCATTTGTATTGCTGAACCATCTCACCCACACGCCTTTCATGACCTTTTCAACTGTTTCCCAGCTTGTTATTATCATCTAAGCTCCACCCTATTATCATCATCTTAGCCCTGTGATGCCCCATTAGTCATTCTCATTCTCTTAATTCCATTCTTACTGTTCCTTAGATCAGCTTTTAATTCTTATTCTTATGCCTCATTTTGCTGTATTTCATAGTCTTTGAAATAGTCTTTGCTGTATTTCACAGTGTTTGTGAGCTCCTCTACAGTGAAGTAAATGTCACTTATAAATGAAAAAGAAATTCTCCAATTTTAATATTAGAAAGTCAGGAAGAGCAGGGACCTTGGTGCTATGTACTTTTGCCTTTTGGCTGCTAACACAGGCCTACCTTGTTTTATTGTACCTCACTTTATTGCTCTTCATAGATATGTGTTTCACAAATTGAAAGCAAGATCCTCCACTAACATAAAAGATTACTTCTCTTTATTGCAATACTTGCTTTATTGCAGTGGTTGGAAGCGAACATGTAATATCTACAAGGTATGCTTGTACTTGATGAGGTCAACCTAGCTTAGCAACTGATTGGGAGGTTTTGGTAGCAGAACTCTCAGGTTGACCCCAGTGCTATATTGTGGGGCTCTTAGTAACTCCCTTGACTCTGAGCTTCAGTTTCTTGTATGCTAGATGGGGATATGAGGTATTATTAACTGATTGTGCTAGAACACCATGAGAAATAGTTATATGGGCATTTTCATGTCACAAGAAAACCCTCTCCATTAAAAGTGCCTAAATGACGAAAGCTGGAGTTGAGGATTGGAGGTGTGCATGTGTGTGTGTATACATAATTTATTAACTTTTTAAACAATTTTCAGTGGGTATTGCAGATGTTCAATGGTCTTTCTGGAAGTCAGCATATTCAATCACTGTTCTTAAAACTAAAACTAGTTTTCCAGCTGTCTTCTATTGTATCCACAGAGAACCTTTATAAGTAGTTTACAGCCAGTCTTTCAAATTACATGTGAGTAAGTGTTCAAATAGCTTCTCGAACTGTTTTATTATGTGGCATGCAGAAGTAGCTTATTAAGAAGCTTTTCTTCATCTTAACTAGCATTGGGATAATAACTTAAAATGGTTTCTAAAGAAGCAAAGGATACACTCATTCTGAGGGCTCTCTCCAGGGATAGGTTGCTTAGGTAGTACTTGAAATTTAATCAAGCATAGCTTTACAAGTTAATAATCTTTTAAAATTAAAGAAAATATTTAGAAACCTCTCATACACTGATTGGTATGACCCAGTATAGATTTCTTTGTATTTTTATTCTTTTGTACTCAACAGCCTCAAAATTGTAGTGCAGTGCCTTACCAACCCACATATTGGTCAGTGTGACTGTCCTTCCTTAACATGTGGGACTATTCCCCTCAAGGGTCAAACACTGACCACTGGGATGAATTATCAGTTCAGAACCCCAATGTGCTAAAGAAAAGCCAGCAGTCTAATCTCAGAATCCAGGCTGCTGGGGGTTGCTGGAAATGGAACTGGGATGCGGCGGAAGTAGTGCTCCTGGGTGGGAAGGGATGTAATGATAGTGGAAAGACCTCTCATTACATGAAAGATGAAGAAATAAATTAAATGTCTCCTCACCTCCAAACAACAAAAGATACATCTCCTAACACTTCCCCATGGACACAAATCTAGTGTCACACTGATGTGGAGCCTGGACTCTGGAAGCAGATGTCACGGATTTAAGTCCCAGCAGCCTTACTTAGTTGTATTTAGTAACACAACTTCTTTGCACAGTGGAGAAATACGAGTACCCAATAGGGTTGTCCTGATGATGAAATGAGATCATATGTGTTAAGTGTTTGGCACATGTGCAGAGTACCTTGTAAGTACTCAGTTGATAAGTAATGATATTAAAACTATTATTCTTCCTCCCTACCTATTTCTTTAAAAGTAACTCAATGTAAGCACTGAAGCAAGACAGGGCTCCTTTATGGGTGCATCATTGTGGGAATATAGAACTGATTATGTTACACATACTGACAGTGAAACTACTCATGGCATCATCAGAAGACTGAGTCCTCACACAGGTGATGCACATTCCCCCATCTGATAAAGACTAAGGAGTTGACTCCTTGCCCATGCACATTGTACCAATAGATTAATGTGTTCAGAAAAATTATATAAGGGAATGCTTTGCCAAGGATATAGAAAAATACATAAAAGGCCTGAGTTGGATCTATTGCCTGAGGAAGTATGGATTCTTGACAAATAGAATGCTAGAATGTGTGGAGAACAAGACATATGAGAAAGAAATGCCTCCACTGGCTTAGGAAAAAGATCCTATGAATACAGGGTATTACTGCATTCTAGTCCATTGTTTTGATCCCTTTGGAGAGCAATATTTGAATACAGAATGGAGAAGTATACATATGCGTGTGGTGGAGGGCACTATGTGTCAGTGACTGCAAATTGACACTGCATAAAAAGTCAGCACAAAGTCACCGCACTGGACACTGAAAATGTGCTGATGCACCCAAGAAGATGGATAATCGTAAACTCCACAAGGACTCTGGCTCTGATTCCTACTTGCTGCAGCCTCTGGCTGGCAGCGGCTCACCAGCTGCCTCAATCTGCTCTGGACTGGCTGGGTCAGCAGAGCACCCTGCTGCCTGCACTGTGCTCTCTGTCAGGGGGACAGAGAGCACAGTCAGGGGGACCAGCCACAGCCATCCCTCCTGAACACCTCTTTTCTCCTGACCCTGCTCTGTGTAAAAGTACCACCAATAGTGCCTTCCTTCTTCCCATTAAACCCTCTGCCTCCTCTGAATCTAAGTGGTGGGCAGTCTGTTCACAGATGAATTTTTTTCCTTTTCTTCTCTCCCTCCTTCCCTTGCTCCCACCCTCCTCTCCTCTCTGTTCTGTCCCGCCCCCACTCCGCTCGGTGTAAAACAGGCTGCCATAGAGCTGCATTCCCAAGGATTCCTCTATGAAAGCTGTAGGAACAAAGCACCTGGGAAACCTAACTGGTGGTGGTGGAGTGGGCATGGTGGAGGTAATTCTCGTACATATGAAGCACAGAGAACTTCTCCCTTAAAATGTTTATACTTAGGCCTTGGGTCTAGGAAATAGGGCAGTTGAATCACAAATTTTAGGCCATTTTAAAAGCTTCTTTTCCCCTCAGAGCCTAATGAATTTTCTTGTTCTGTTCTTCTTATTATACCTCCTAACTTTCCCATAATGTGGGAAATCAATGCAAAACTGAATGCTGATGCTCATGCTGCCTTTGCACGCTGCTCCCTTCAGGGCTGGTGCCTGAGAGGGCTGCTCTGCAGAGGGCGGTGCCACTCCCTGGGAAGCAGTACATGGTTTATCAGAGCACTGAGCACATCTCACCGAGGGAACTCAGGGTGACTTCTGTGGAATCGTCAAGGGCAATATGATTATGACACACTTGCTCAGTTCCTTGATTCTCAGTATACAAATAGAAATTCTGTAAGATTCTTGATGTTTTGCTGGACATTTCTTAATTTTGCTTAATTTGAAAAGTCCTTTAAGTGGACTTTTGTGTTTAGGGAAATGTTATTATGGGGCTTGCGATACCTTTCATCACCAACCCCAGACTAGCGGTCTCTTCATTACCTCTGACCCAGCCTCTCTCTGTCCTCCTCAAGTATGCCATCCTCCCTCCTTTCTCCTTTCTCTCTCTGTCTATAGCTATCATTTATTAATTACTTGAAATATATCATTAGTGCATCTGAGTGGGATAGAAAGGAAAGGTACTTTAGTGCAAATTTATACTTGTTCTAATCCTTCTCTAATCCAATCATCTGATTTTCTCTTTTCCAAACCCTATAACACTTCTTGTTAAGTATATGTTGTTTTATTTAACCAGGTTATGCTGCTAGACTTTTCAGAACCTCAAATTCATCATTGAGGCTGTTCCTCCCCCTGCCCTCATTTATGGAATTCCTAAAGTCAGGAATGAAACAGGCAACTACGTTTTTTAACAAATGTCTTCCCAAGTGTCTTGAGGTATTGATGTCTATATCTGAAATAAAGAACACTGATATTTGGTCTTCGAAGACAAGTAAACAGGGATAGGAATTCTAAACTTCATATAGATGCAGCATTTGTGTAGATATATCTTATCAAACCCTTATAGACTGCAGTTAATAGAAGTTATGAATGAGAATATTTTGTGGTTGTTTCTTATAAGTAGAGTTGGACTTTGAGCCATTTTAAAATGACTTTAATACTATATTTCAAGAGAACTATCACTTAAGTTAATTTTTCTTCTAAAATCTTTTTTTCCCCTTAAAGTCTCCTGTAAACTATATAAAGTAAGATGGAGGCATCACTCCTGGCCATAGTATCTTTAGATTTTCCAATTGAACTTGTGTAAAAAAATCCCCTCCTAGTGGCTTGTTATTCTAAAATAATAATAATAAATTCTTTGGACTTTCTCCTTTAGTCCAAATGAACTTTCTGGCCTAGCACGTGCTAACATTTTTGTTTGTTTCACTTATTCTGATAAACATATCCTTATTACGCAGGTTACCATCTTCCAGAATTTCACCTGTAATACTTGTGTTTCTCAGGGAGCATTTGCTGCTATGCACAGAGCCACCAGCTGACAAGGCAGGGGGCCAGACACCCGCCTGTAACGTGTTGCTACAGAGCAAGGCTCCAAGGTGGGCTGTCCTGCTAACATCGAAAACTTACCACAACTGATTCCTGCTGGGTCTGCCTTTAGGTTCTTCCTTGGTCTTCAGAAATGCCCTTCTCTCCTACTATGCCATCTCTCTTCTAAAAATACACCACACGTGTTTCCTGCTGTCATCTGGTAGCCTTTCGGCAACTATTTTTTCTCCTTTAGATTTCATATTTTAATCATTTGTTCCATTTTTCCTCTTGTGTTGTTAATAATACACTTTCTTTTTTCAGCCTCTCTGTTCCCCCAGCTCCTAATCCATCCTCACTACATATTAATCAGTTAATCACTCTCATCACTGCCATTTTTTAACTCTCATCCACATTCCAGGATGTTACATCACCTCTGCTTCTTAAAGAGACACTCACCCAAGAGGCATATAAACAACAGACCTACAAACAAACTAATGGGAACAAGACAACTATCAAAAGTAAGCCAGGGAGTAGAGAGAGAGAGAGAGAAGTTGCCCATGTGTAAACTTGCCTTATGCATAGAGATTGAGAACCTACCTGTATTTTTGTTTCAGTGACTATAATCTGAATTTTCCATAAATTTACCTCTGGTAAATAATAATTTTTAAGCTTTCCATGGGAGAATGTGATCAACCAGATGCTCCCAAACTGGGCCTGCTTTGGCATACTTACTGAAAAGGACTAGGCTGGCATTGGTGACCCCCAGCTTGTTGGCAGCCACGCAGGTATAGTTGCCATAGTGCTCCTCAGTGACATTGGTCACCGTCAGGGAGGACTGGCCCTCGGTGCTCTTAATCTCAAGGCCATTGGCACTGTTTATCCTAAGAGTTCAAAAACAGAACAGTAAAAAGAAACACTGATGAAGATTTGGCACAGTAATTCGTTTTCATTATATTGGTGGAAAAGAAGAGAAAGGAAGTGGTTAGAGTTTGTTGTTCCATGCTCATCCCTCATGTTGATAGTGCAATCCCATATTATCTGAATCTACGTCCGTCCACAGAGAAGACTCCAGGGGTGGATGAGTTTCTTTGGGCTTGACTTCTACTATAAGCAAGAAAGACATGCAGGTGGAGACTACCCGCTGAACCACCTGTCTCACTTCTACATGTAACCTGAGTATTTTGAAGCTTCACCTTAAGTATTATAGTCCTGGAAGCACTTGAAGAAGGACTTTGAAAAGAAAGAGTCCAAGAGAATAGGCCTATGTAATTATAGCTAGCTTTGTTTTTGTCATTGGGGCTCCTGGCGGTGCCCTTAAGTCCACCTGTCAGAGCAATGGGGCACAGCAAATTTCACACACACGTACCTGGTGTCATCCCGGTACCACTCAAAGTCAGGCGCAGGCACTGCCGAGGCCTCACATTTGAGTGAAGCTTGTCGCCCTGTGGTGGCTTCATTACTCTTGGATTCCGTGATAGTGGGAGGATCTGTGGGAAGGACAGGCACATGGTTTGCAGGACGGTCAGAGGACGCTCCAGGATTCCCATGCAAAAAGCAATTGGAAAGGAGACTCTGATCGGAGAGGTGCTGGAAAGAAACAGCCTTAAGGCTCCATTTACATGAATTCATGATCAGCTGAAAAGGACTGATCACTAGAAAACTAACTAAAAATAAGAGGTGATTAATGAAGCCACAGATTTGGTGTACTTAACTGGGACACTTAACGAGGCTTTATGGAAATAGAATCTAGGATTTCTTTTACTTTCCAATCTACCATCAGTTATTTCAAGCATGGCTTATATGTGCAGAGGTTTTTTTTATTTTCATAAATTAGGTAGAAGGACTTGGGATTTTAATGTATGATTAGAGCATTTATCTTTTTCATCATCATCATCATTATCATCACGGCAATTGTTACAGGTTGAGATGACAGTAAGAGTCTAATGAAAATAACACAGGTCTAAGTTCTTCAAACCCAAGCTTAGCCTAATATTTTTTCAGGAATTCAGAAAAACAAACAAAGTAGTATTATAGAATTACTAAAGCACTTTTTTTTCTTTTCTGTGTTTCCTTATTGCTATGGCCCAGGTAAACCATTGCTTTTATGTGGGAAGGTGTAGTATTGAGTCTATGTTGGTACATAGAAGCCTTCCTGGTGTATCATCCTTCTACTCTCTCTGGAAGTTGTGCCCTTAATTCTGTTTGCCAAGCACTGGCCCACGAAACTCCACAAACATATCTGACATTCTAATTTGTCATGATTATATATATATGGTACTGTGTAAAGGAGAATAAGATATATATATCTATATATATATCCTTTCAAATATATTATAGATGTATATATCTTATTCTCCTTTACACAGTACCACTTTTTTACATTCAATATTATTTTGTATTAGTTTCAGGTGTGCAGCATGGTGGTTAGACAATCATATTCTTTACAAAGTGTTCTCACCAGTATTTCTAGTACCCACCTGGCACCATACATAGTTACTATAATAGTATTGACTATATTTCCTATACTCTACATCCCCATGACAATTTTGTAACTACCAATCTGTACTTCTCAATCCCTTCACTGTTTTCACTGAGCCTCTGAACCCCCATACCCTCTGGCAACCATCAGTCTGTTCTCTGTTTCTTTGAGTGATTCTTTCAAACAGTCCTATGAAGGGTGAAACAGGTGTCTACAGATCCGCACGATGGAGTAAGGTTGGTAGATGTGGGCTCCTGGCTTGATGATACTGTGTTTGACAAGGTTATGGACCTTTATGGAAAAAAGAATTTTTTTGACCAAAACTTATTTGCCAGAAATGGCAACTTGGCTGCATGCACATAAAACAAGGAGGCCCAAACAATATGTAGACTTTGCAGAGAAAAAAGTTTATTTAAGGAAAATAGTAAAGTGATTTCTAGTATATAAAATTTATTTAAATCTCTTTGGTGCCTGGTTCAGCTCACTTATGAGTTTTCTTCATACTCAGAAACTATTTTTTCAAGTTTTCTGCCTAGAGAAGACTCTGACCTTAGTTAGGAAAGATGTACGAAAATATCTAGTTAGTCTGCAATTTTCTCTCCCATTTCATTTTCACGTGAGCTTGGACATCTTTAAATCATTGTCAGAGAAGAGGAGTTAGAGCACATTTGGATAAGCACCACCAGCCTGCATGTAAATAGACGTGCCAGAGTGAGTGATGGTTGTTTTTTTGTTGCTTTAGAATTATCTGCTCATTTTTGTACAGGCACAAAAAGGCAACATGATGAGTGGAAAGAACCCTGGGTTGGAAACTAGGAGTTCTGGAATTTAATTTCAATTTGCTTGTGTGGACCTCCCATCACACACTTTATCTTTCTGAGCCTTGGTTTTATTACCAATGTAATGAGGGAACTATATACTTTAATGATTTCTCCCAGCTATTAAAAAAATCCCAGTTCTAGTCAAAACTGCCCAGTCTTTACAAATGGGCAGTTTGTATCATTATGATCGAAATGTATTTTCATATCCATTACTTATTTAACCCTTAAATTGTTAGACTTAAAAATTGTAGCTCATTTATTTATCTCATGGGTTAGGAATTAGGATTAGCAGTCAGAAATTGAAACATGAGGTCTGATTTTGATTCTTCTCTTAAACAGAACTGGGGCCTAGGCAAGCATCTACACCAGTCTGAGACTTTTCTTTCTTATCTTTCAAAACAAGGGCTTAGTTTAAGATGAGCACTAAGGGGTTCTATTTAAATTCATTCATTCCACAATTGGTTACATAGAGCACTGGAGCACATTAGTTCAAAGAATAATACAATAACTGGGGTGGTGGTATGGGTAGAGGAGGTGTTTGTGGGGATAAGACATCCAATAGAATTGAAAAGTTTGGATTTAAAGTTTGATAAACCTGAGCTTAAAGCTAGGCTCAGTCTCTCATTTTCCTTCCTCATTAGCGTTTAGTACCTTGTCTAGAGTCATATTGCCTCAATCTTCTCATCTGTGAAATGTTGGAACTGAAGACGAGGCAGTCCAGGTGGAGATTGCTGAAGGATTCCAGAGAGAGCCTGTACTTGGTTTATGATAAAGGGACTGGAAGCAAATGGAGGGATTTGAGATTGAGGGATACTGAGCTTCAGAACTGATAAGATTAGCTGTGAAGACTGAGGCAAAAAAGGAGGCCTGTCAAAAATAACATAGATAACAAGCAAGTTTCTGGCTTAAACCTCTAGGTGATGCCATCCACTGAGATAAGATACAAAAGACGAAAAAAAGGTGATCAGCAGGAATACACTGAATGAATATTAGTTTCCTGTCCTCACCTCTTCACTGTTGAGTTAGTTGACCCTCGAGCAACATAGGTTTCAACTTCATTTATATCTGTTTTTCAAAAATAAATACTATAAATGTTTTAACATTTTCTTTTCTCTAGCTTACTTTATCATAAGAATATTATATAGTACGTGCAACATATACAATATGTGTTAATTGACTATATGATCAGTAAGACTTCTGGTCAACAGTAGGCTATTAGTACTTAAGTTCTGGGGGAGCCGAAAGTTATACGTGGATTTTTTTAAAAGATTTTATTTATTTACTTTTAAAAAGGGGAAGGGAGTGAGAAAGAGAGGGACAGAAACATCAATGTGTGCTTGCTTCCTGTGTGCCCCCTACTGGAGTCTTGGCCCACAACGCAGGCATGTGCTCTGACTGGGAAGTGAACCGGTGACCCTTTGACCCTTTGGTTCACAGGCCAGCACTTAATCCGGAGCCACACCAGCCAGGGTTATACATGAATTTTTGAGTGCATAGGGACTGGTGCCCCTAACCACTGCATTGTTCAAAGGTCAACTGTATTAGGTTCCTAAGCTACCGATGACTCCACAATCTGTAGCATGTTGGCTGGAGAAAATAATCTTGCTTATGATTCTATTGCTGTGGTCAATAGCTCAAATTGTGAAATGAGTTTTAACTAGTCACATAGTTTGTGACTTTCTGGAGCCATGTGCTAATAACTGACAAATCCTTAATGATGAGTACTACGGTGTTCAACCAGCCCTAAACTTGGGTCAGACTCCGCACATTCCACCTCCTCCACCTGTGCACTCATTGCTGTAGCACCTCAACCTACTAATGCCATGGTGGAGCCTCCCAGTCCCTGTACCAGGAGACCAGGAATATGGGCCTCAGACCCACAGTCTCATGGGAGAATTCTTCTTTGCTCCGGATTTTCCTCCCATGTGGCAGGGGCTTATTTAGTCTACCTCCTTGCTCTGGGACCCAGGGGGGAAGATGTTTTTTCTGATTAAAAATTGGGGGAGCAACAAAGTAGGTGTGTTTGGCTTTGCTCTTCCCCTTCTTCCTTTTGGGACCAGGCATCCAGTGGGGGATCAGAGCTTCTCCTCTGCTTTTCCACACTGAAGTCTTACTTGGGCTCTTCCTTTCCCACTTGCCTGTGGGCATGCCTGCCCCAGTCCAGGGCTGCCATAACTGGGAAGGGAAGTTGGCCACACAAACTCTACCTCTCACCACTTTGATTTCTAATGATGAGGGCAAATGCAATGTATTCAGAACCTGCAGAGTTAAGTAGCAAGCTATTTATGAACTCCTCAGCAATGCCAGCATGGGACAGGAGAAAGTAAACTAGGGTTAAACACATTAACTGTACAGGGGCAGCATGGTGCCAGTCAATGTCAAACATGAAATGCTTGCTTCTCTCATTGAAAATCTAGGAAGTTTCTCATATTGGTGTAATTTTACAGGTGATGATAAATGCATGAAGAGCTTGTTGTTTCCAATATTTCTCAAATGACACAATGGTGCAGGTCTATTTGTTCATGACTTATTGGAATGAACATTTCAAAATTCATTTGTGATAAATTCTACATTGGTGAGGCTAAAAAATATTACAAATCATATTGTGGCATGCCCATTGTAGTTAAAATAATAGCTGTCCTTGCTCAAAATATGGTTATAATAAAATTGTGATAATAATAATGCTGCATGGAGGTCCATTGTTATTCTTTATGTGACTTTGGAATAGCATACGATTATTAAATAATTCTTCCAGTTTTTATTATTTCAAAATTCTGGGTTCTGAAAATATTAAAAAGGGCTCTCTTTTTATATCACCCATAACAAGACTGTCAATTAAGATAACAATGACAGTGGCCTAGCAAACAAAGTATCATTTGCTATTCCTAATATTAGGAATAATAGTTTAAGTAACAAAATTCTTAATAATGAATTCAGGTTACAAGCACTTACAATATGTCAGACCTATACTAAGTTTTAGGTAGTCTTTTCCTCCAAATAATAGCCACTTAGGAGGTAAAGATTATTAACCTGTTTTATAAATGAGAAGACAGGCCTATGGAGGGTTAGTAACTTGTCTAAATTAACATAACCAGCATTTGAAGGAGTCTAGACTTGAACCCATCTCTATGAAGTTCATGATCTAATCCTCGCTGTGCTTCCATGTGAATGAATTCCTGCTAAGGAAAAATATCATTTACGGAGGCATGCTGGTAGCTTAAAAGGTCAATGTTACATAATTCTGCTGTTGCAGACAATAAAAATGGCACAACATGTATTGATGTAGTGCATATAATCTCACATTTGGAATCAGGAGATGAGGGCTGTTTCTGCTTAGGCCACTTAGGTGGATGCCTCCTGGAGGTGACACACTAAGTCTTGGTGCCCCTGACCTGTGGATGAATGTAGGCGATGCTACCTTTCTACCTATCCTTCAGGTTTGATGTAAGAATCAGATAAAATCACAGATACGAGAGCATGTTTAACACCTGAAGTAATTACATGCATTCTTTTAATTCTATTATCATATTGTATCATTGAAGGAAAGAAGACTTTGGAGTTAGGTCTGGGTTAGAGTCCTAATTCTGCTACTCACTAGGTCTTTGATTTTGTGGCAGAAAATGCTCACGTGCTCTGAGCTCTGTGTTTGGCCTCTCTGCATAGGGATGATCCAGTTGTCTCCCAGGAGTAGTGGGCAGTGGTGGACCGATGGGGTGGGAGCAAAGAATGTGGGCAACAAGAACGACATTGTCCGTAAAGAATTTAGAAACAGTAATGGAAGTAACTAAAAGCTGTCTTTTTTTTAATCATCATCTATCAGCAATACTCAACAATGTCAGTGATAAAGTAAATATTCCTGCTGTCTGGCGTAGGTTCCAGTCCAACATGCTGCCCCACTTAGCTGGCTTCTGGCACTGTGACGATTATAGTGAATCATACAAAATCTTTAGCATAATCTTGGCACTCTGAAGTCACTCATAAAAGTTATAGTTCTTGTTCATATTGCAAAGTTATGGTTGAAGACTACAGTAACTCTGGATTCTTACTGAATATTTCCTCTCAAGATCCCATAAGAGATAATAAACATTAGAATGTATCTTTACTGATACTTTCCAAAATATAAGAATCAACTAAAGGCTGGCATGGGAAATGGAAAGATGAAGCTATGAATAGCCAGAGAAGGTGCCAGCTGGTTCCACATTGAGCAGCTATTTTACAAAAATTTCCTCAGCATGTGATTTTTGAATCAAAGCCCTGAAAGAGTCCAGTTAAAAGGCATTTGTATTACCTGGAGAAAACAGATGTCTCCAGTCCCAACTGTGCATTCTCTAGTAGTAACCTCTGCTTTCTCTAAAATAATAGCTCTCAGAGGTAAGGGGGAGCTTTAGAAATGCCAGTGTCTCATGCCTCTTAACAACCATGTTGGTTTGGTTATCTCTGGACACCAGGGTAGCAGCAGAGCTGAGTTCAAAGGGTGACAAGCAGAGGAAAAGAGATTATAATGAATGACAATGAGAACATAGTTGGAAAAGTAGCTGTGGGAAGGCAGAAAGCCATTAGCTGGTCATTGGGGTGAGGGGAAAGATTCACAGTGGGGGTAGGTTGTGAGAAGAATTTCTCCAGGTACAGGACAAGAGTCCAGTATAGGATGAGTCAAAATAAAATTAATAGGCTGTATTTATTAGACATTTACGATGCACTAGATATTATGTTCAGCATACTAGACACTTGGAAGAGACAAACTCGAGTAGATCTGCTTTTGAAGCACTGTAAGAACTGAAATTGAGGGAGTGCACACAGACCTTGTAATAAAAGGATATCTGTCCTTAGGGCTGGGATCTGGGAGAAATTAGCAGCTATCCTGTAAGTAAGATACCAGAAACCAGAAATGGTGCCTATTGTCAATATTTTACTAGGCTTGTTTAGTTGAAGAGATTTCAGGTCAATAATTTTAGCTTCTGTAAACTCCAGGACCTCCTACCATTCAGAAAACAGATTTCAGGTATCAGATGGTTATGTGCAATAACACAGACCAAGTAGGGAGGAGAATTATCAAGAGAAGTGAAAAAGGGGAGACTGTAGAATCCAGCTCGTGAGCTTTGTCTCTCTGGTTTCCTGCTCTAGCTTCTCAGTGCCCTGCTACAAATGCCTGTTGGTCACTGAGGAAAGGACTCAATAAAATGCTCGTAGGAGATAATCAGCACTGGGATTTTTTCCCAGGGCTGTTCAGGGTCTGTTTCGTGACAATACTCTATTTAGCCATTAATTATCTAAGCCACCCTGATTCTCTGACCTAATTCTGAACCCTGTGTTTTGAAAAGGAAGAGGAGTAAATTTAAATAATGGGACATTGCCACAGTAGGCAGGCTTAGATGAAGTGGCAAAAGTGACAGCAGATATTTGTCAGTATCCACCAGTTTTGCTAGCCAGACCTGGTTCTATAATGTAATCTTGGAGACTTCATCTCCTTAGTGTGATTACACTTAAGCAGAACTAATTGTCTGAATAGGGCACGAGGAGCAATGGCCAGTTGTTTTAATGTATTATAAACATAGCTTATGCAGTGTTGGTAAAAAGGTGATTCCAAAGGAAACTGTTATTTGAATATACTTCTTGATTTGTAACCGATGTCATTGCAAAGGTTGAAGAAATGTTAAGAGGGCAGAGTTTACCTGCGAGTTTTTTACCTACTCACTGAGTAAACGTTTACTGGATGTCTGACTAAGCTCACTAGAGTAGATTTCCATGTTATGAGGTATATTCTTAAAACCTTAAGATTCTATCCATAATCTCCTGTGGCTCACTTGTCACTAGCAAAACCTCACAGTTTCATAAAAGCACTTTCTTGAAGATTATCAGCATTTTCTTCTCTTCTAAGTTACACTTTGGGGACAGTCAAAAAGGAGCAATGTCAGACTAATTGCACTAATAATAAAAGGGCCCAGGCGGCTGGCTTTGATCATGGGAACCATCTGCAGTGCAGGCCACTTTGATGTTTCACACAATGGAAGCATAAATATTTTCTGTGTATTCCATGATTGGACTTTCAGAAATCTAATTAAGATGAAGGTCAATTAAGAGAGAATAAAACCTTAACTCCAAAAGTCAGAGAGGAGGTGGAAGATGATGGAATGGCTGTGTGTACATAAAAGAAGCTAACTAACCTAATTATAACTTGTATAAACACCCAGAGAAAGTGCCTTTCATGGAAAAAGAAAGGTCCTAAAGCATTTTATAACATTGAGATCATTAATGTGTCTTTGAAACACACCCAATACTGGAAAAGAATAGTAATACTGGCATTTCAGAACTCTATTACTAAAAGAATTGCAGACAGCTAGGGGATAAAAGCACTTCAGAGCTCATCAAAAGCAGTCCCTTGCTTCTTGGAAATAAGTGCCATAAATGTCTACAGCACAGTCATAGCTACTGGATTCTTTTCGGTATGCTGTGCAGAAGAACATGCTGGCTGTGTCAGAAGGCCGCAAGGCTGGAGGAAGGGCCCTGGACACAGTGCAGCTCAGCATGGCTGGGTCACCTTAGGCAAGCTTGCTCAGCAGTCTATGCTTCTGTTTCCAAAATTTTCAGGTCAGAACAAGAATATTTATCTCATGACTTTACTGTGTATTAAATGACAAACATAAATTCCTTAATCCAGTCTGCACATTGTAGGTAGTAAGAATGAAAAATCCTCCTTCTCTTCTTGTTTTTCCTGAGGTCATGAGCTTTAGAATCAAACTTAGTCTGAGTGCCTCTCTTTTTCCTGCTTTTTATGTCACTGGAAAGACTATTTTACCTCCTTAGGCTTCAGTGTCTCAAACTATAAAGTGGAGTAAATTACATGTACCTCCCTAGAGAATTTATATAGAGTCACTGGTACATAGGTAACTGCATGGAGGACTTAAGATAACAAAAAGTAACTCACCATGGTCCAAAGCATATTTTCAAATAGGGGTTGTATCTGTGTAGGTATGTTATATGTGCACTTGTGTGTATATCTCTGCATGTAGGGTATATATTTGTGTGTATTATATGTGCACATGCGTATATTTGTGTGTATGTGTTAAATACATAGGAGGAAAGAACTGTCAGGACATCCCTTCATCCCTGGTCACTAGCCACAATTGTATGATGTGAAAACTTAAATTTTAATGATGTGGCAAGTCATTTCTAACTGAAAAGGGTAGACAAATTCTTTTTATTCCTTTGTTGCGCAACACATATCATATGAATCCAACCCTACCTCCCATCTCTTAAACTACATCTAAGGATTCTTTCGTCTGAGAAGTTCAAAATATGCCTACTCACCTATGCAACTTAGAAAAATCTTACTTTCCAATGCCCATACTTTGGGACAAATAGATAATCAAAATTAACTTATCAGTTATCCCTGTTAGCCCTCAGGGATATGGTATCTGACCACAGTGTCTTGAATTTGTTACCACGGCCAATTAGTTAAATAGCAGAGGATAAAATATGATCTTGGGTTATTCCCTCTGACAATGCATTAAGATGAAAATTCCACTTAAGGAAGATATGAATTGTTGCTTTGTTGCTTTTCTCCATAGTGGTGTGACCTTGGTCTCCACAAAGACTTGAAGAGTGATTGCCAGAAGTGCTAGTGCTGTCTGATCCTGTTTTCTTAATTCTGTAGTCTGAGTAAAAGACAATGTGTATGGTTAAATATATTATGGGTTACATTTAGAGTTGATAGAGTTGATTTATCAAATTCAAAGGCCAAGTCCTGCCCTTGGATGTATTGGATGTATAAATGTGCATCCCTGACCAGAGGAACATCTGCTTGAAATGCAATGTTCCTTTGCTAATGGGATCTGTAGAGCTCACTGGAAGTGGAGGTGGGCCCAGGCACACAACGCCTGCTGGCTGCTGCCATACTCACAGTTCACAGTGACCTTGACTTGTTTGACATCTGCAGAGGAGACCTCATTGGCAGCTTTGCACTCGTATTTGCCTGACTGCTCCCTGGTGATGCCAAGGATCTCCAGATATTCTTCTTCACCTTCAAATTCTCTTCCTGAAAAATAGAGGTTTGCATAAATGTTTTTTAAAGTGTAACATATGCAGCAGATCACCTCTTTTTTTTTTAGAAGCAATCAATCCACATGCCTTTTCTATACTTTGACAATGTATTTGGCTAAGGCCAATTCCACAGAAGTAGACTCCAAGACAAAAATATCATGTGAAAGTGATCAAAGAGGAAGTGTTATCAGAAAAACATAGAGGAGTGGGAAATGGAACCTGCCAAGGAAGAAGCCCAGCGAGGGTGTAATGCCAAGTTTCCCAGAAGGCCAGCTGGTTCAATTGCTCAAGGAGCTCTGGGTACAGCACATGTCTCACTTCAAAGTTGTCCTGACCAACAGGTAAGAAGCTGAAATGTTTATATGGCCTTGTCGTCCCTCAATCATTGGTTGAGGGCTCAGAACAAAGTGGGAGTTGTGGGGAGGTACTCCCAAGTCATAAGGGACTCAGAGGGGCTATGGATGAAGCCCTGATACCATCAATCACATCATACTGCCTAGCACTTTTTTAACCAAAGTTGTTGTTAGAAGGAGAAGTGGGTTTCTTTTGGGAAACTTTCACTCTTTCCCCCCAGTTTAGGTGGAATTTTGTTCACAGGGTCATGTTCAAAACCCTGTCTTTCAGTTATGGCTTCCTTGTTCAGTATAAAACTATATCATCACTGAGACTTCCAGGCCATGGACCAGATCCATGAGAATGTGCCCCTCATGGTACATTTTATGACAGACTGTGTCACACGGGGTGACAGCAGAGAGCCAAGTACCATTTGCTTAAATAGTTGGCATTAGGGGTCTAGGGGCCCATTTTTGAAAACCTTATAAAGTTGGATATCTCCATTATGGCAAAGAAATCTCAAGATTGGCAGGCTTGTTTAATTCCCCTCATGTGGAGTAAAAATGATTAAATGACTTTCTTTGGGAAGGGAGGAAGGAGATAGATAATGAAGAGGAATGAAGGGGAGGAAAAAGAAGGGGGACAGAGAAAGTAAAGAAGAAAAGAGACTGAGCAGGAAGAACTTGACCTTCAACTCTAGTTAAATTGAACCCTCTCACTCCCAAGTTGCAAAACTCCACTGCTGCTTCTGCCAGGATAGAGCAGCTGGGGGAGTGCTGAAGAACACAGGCCTGCCATCTTGAAGAAATCTTGCCCTGGTCATCCTGCACTAAATGGTATTAATTAATAGCTCTACTCGAATGGCACAAGCTGTTTTCCTTTTCTGGAAATTCCCTGATGGCCAAATCAACATAACAGATAGTCAGCACAAAGACAAATTCACTGTCTAAATATGTCAGCTGAGCCTCTTAAATAGGCTCCCAACAGAAAGGATAGCCTCTTTGACAACAAGCTATAACACTACTGTCAGGAACACTCCGAACTTCAAGTCAATATCTCTAGTGCTAGTTTGGAGGAAACTGCAATCCTAATAATATAAAGGCAATAGTTATATATAATTATCTGGCTCTGAAGTCCTAAACATTATCTACTACACACTTCTACTAAAAATGTTTTAGAGAATAAGTTTATAAGTATATAGGTGCATATTATTTATAAAAGACCAGTTTTTAAAATCTGTGTTTCCTCTTTTTTCTTCTCCACATTCAAGCAAGGAGTCATACCTGACTTCATGGGTCACAGATGGGGAATGTGGTAGAAAAGGAAACAGAAACTTCAGACAAGGTGGGAAAACTTGGGCTTGGAAGAAAAAAAAGATCATGCATTCTTGTATCTATGGGTCTATGAACTGAGAGTCAGCCAGCTAACTGATGCTAAGAATCTTCTAGCTAAGCATAAATACCCTGAAGACTAATGGCAGCTCTGACTACTGCAGGCCAAATAGAAGTATAAGCTCATTAAAAATCTGTAGTGGAAAGGGAAGTTGACAGTAAGATACAATTATTGATTCCAAGAATGATGACGGGTTGAATAAAAACAGGGTTCAAGATGATTTCAGAATGTTTTAGGATTTCTGCCTACACCTATCAATCTTATTCCCAAGTAGGTACAGATGTGAGTTAAAAAGAGACCAAGTATGGTCTTCTTAGAGGTGGCTAACGGCACCGAGTTCTTTTCAACTTCCATAAAATACCTAGAAATGGAAAGTAATAGACCTCAATTTTGCATTTGGAATTTATGAAAGATATAAGCCAGTTTCAGGAGAGAAAAAGATAATTTTAGCAGCAGCACCACCTAAGTCCCTACCAGTTTGAAAAGACAGCACCATGAGAGTAGACATTAAAATAAATGAGAAAAAAATAAAATAATATTTACTGGGTTTTGTACCTGGGATTCTTCTTTGCCGGTGCAAGTATTAATAATTTTATTTCTTCCCAAGAAGCCAATAATAAAACAGATTCTTATGGGATGCATTTTCAATCCCACATCTCTAGAAAGAATTCCCCCCATTCCTATCTGAGGAGAGGGGAGTTTTCTCTTAAATGCCCCAGATGTAAGGCAGAAAGATCATTTTTGTTTTTCCCGTGATAACTCTTTTGCACTGTTATGGCTGCCTCTGCTACAGGCATCAATGCTCATAGCTATTTCAGTGGAGTGGGTGAGCCTCAAAGGGAAAACCAAACACAGGTGAGACAAACTAGCCTGATGGGAATTCGAAATATTAAACAGCATCTCTGAGCCCTCCTTCTTGTCATTCTTCCTTTACCACTTCGATCCTCTAGTTGAAACTCTTGCACTTCTGGCAAGTCTTGGTACATGTTTTTACTTGCATTCACAGGAGCCTTTGCCCACAACAGATATCTCTCCTATTTTGCTTGAGAATTTCTCATTAATCCAGTGATTTAAGAGGAAATGGGAGCATTCTTGTCACTGGAAAGCCAAAGAACCACATTGTAGATTCCTCAAACACCATTCTTTTCTTTTTCTAAACAGTTTATTTTTTATCGTATTTTTTCCATTACTATTTATCCCCCTTATGCCCTCTTCTTTTATTTGCAATATCCCTGTGAACCAGTCCCGAGTTTGGCAAGATTAGTTTTTACTCCATAAATATGTGTTTGAGTTAGCAAAATCAAAATAATAAGCAAGAACTAGAGTCAGGTTCAAGACATTATATACCTCAGGAGAACAAGCAAAGAATGGAAAGCTGGCTAAGTATTTCTGTAAGAGAAGCTGTATATACATTCACTCCCTTTTAATGATCCTGATAAGAGAACTCGTTTATTGGAGAAGAATGTGCTTAGTACTCTGCTGTAAAAGGCTGGATGGGGCATCTCTGCTAGTGTCCTGAGGATGTATCTGTCGTGTGGAGTTATTATTTCAGAAATAGGTATGGAAACAAGAGCAGAGACCCTGGTGGAAACAGGAATCATGGCATTTCTTTCATCTGAGTAACTGCAGTTTCTGGTTTCAAGGCATAGAATACGCTGTGTTAGTCTTGAGTCACAAACCTCTAAAATGCACTCCATGCTCTTGATCCCTCACCCTCTGGCCCAATGTGTCTGCCCCGTCAGTGCACCTTTCTCACACCCTTTCAGCTCACTTGGACTAGCTGCTTTTAACCCAAAAGCCCTGTCACTATTTTCTTTCATTCTCTCAACCTTAAGAAGGGTCTCAGGCCAGAATGTGACCCTTAATTTGTTAAGTTCTTTGTGGAATAAAGCCCTAGGACTTCAACTTGGGCCTGTCTCCTATTCCTGTTGATTATTTTCTGCCCTTGTATAAATGTTTAATTGAAGTGCAAATTTCAATATTTTGCTATTTAAAACATCTCAACCTATTTCCACAATCTTGCTCACATCACCAAGTATTATGTTTATTCTGGGATCTGGTGTTTAGTTTAAATCTCCCTTTGCTTAATATGTTTTTGTGTCTCCTGGCAATATGCAGTTGCAATATGCACCTTTCAGACTCTTGCACATGATTAGCATATCTCCTCTTAGTCACTGTTTACTCAAGTTGTACATATTAGTTCTTTTAATATTTCTTCATAAGTCAGAAAGAGGGGCCTAGAGCTAATGGCAAGAGCAAAGTGTTCTCTTCTGTGTTTTACTAACACAGAGGCAAATCAGCCAGGACCACTCCAATTAAAGTATGCCAGGTGCTGTCTTCTGAGTACGGTGCCTGCAGAGTACTGACTCTGCTTTGGTGAAACATGTAGAAATCACATTCAAAATGTTGATTTAGTTAGATTTCTAAGGTCAATGAGGCATTCATTCATAAGCAAGCAGTCATTTAAAATTAAATACATTTCCATGGTACTTCTCTTTCTCACTTTTTCCCTTTCTCTCTTTCCTTCCTCTCCCCCATGAACACCATATTCCTTCTTTCTCTCATTGGATACTAATGCAAACACACTCATATACATACTCACACACATAATGCTATCTACTTACATATAACCTTCCACTCTTTTAGAAGACTGCATGCAATTTTACTAACACCCAAATATTTGCTCACTAAATAGAGCAGCACTATTCTTGAGAATTCCTCAGGACATCACAAACAGTCCCCTGTCTGAGATTTTTAAAAAAGATTATCACCCCAGTAATCTACAGGGTATTTTTCTTTTTTTTCCTTTTGAGATACAACAAATAAAATTTAGGAAACTTGTTAAATTTGAGTGTTTTGTAACTTTGAAAAGGTAGAATACCAAGGATTGTTACATGTTAGAAAATGAATGAGTCATTTTTTTCATTATTCAGAGAAGACTCTTTTAAAATCTCTGTAGATCCTTTTTTTTTTTTTTGCAGAAGAGAGGATGTGTTTGAAATAGGGTTGACATTTCCTTTACTCACCTACATTTGAGTATTTACAAGTAGTAGCTGTAAACACAATAGTTCCAAACACAAAGGCATAAACAGATTAATGAAAAGCAAACAAGTGGAACTTGTCTTGCAGGGTATGTGTGTGCACACATGTGTGTTTGTGTAGTTGAAAAGTGAGTGAAAAGGGCAAGTAAAAGCAAGCTATAAACTGTTGCCGCTAAAAATAAGAGAAAGAAAGACTGTGAATCAATGATGCCATTTGAAGTTCCCTGTG